ACGCCACAAATAGCCTCTCCTGTTTAAAGGCTTGTGCTCTCGGAGAGACACCTGCTGTCATACTGGGATGTTTTACAAACCGATTCCAATTCTTAAATGGGGCAATATATTTATATATATATACTGTATATCTTCTTGGATGGCCTAAGGGTCAGTAAATTAACTGCAAATTTTCATTCTTGGGTGAACTATCCTTTTAGTGTGACTTATACTTTTAGTTTTTGTCCACTGATTTGATGAGACAAGCTGTGTTCCCAGATTTCTGACATTCCGCATAGCAGCACTGTAAGGTTTCACTGTTCGAATTAGGCTACTCCTCAACACATCTGTTGCAATCTGTTTGTAAACATAGAAATCCAACATCAGTTCAAAGCATTGAAACAAAGCTATTTTTGTTGGCGAGCGTAATAATAACCAAAATAGCTTGCAATGTTGTGTCTGAAATGTCACTTAATAGACATGACATCTTGTTTATAGAACAGTTCAGGGGTTTCAATAATTAGTAGATGTCTTTGATCTAGTTCTGTGACTAACTGACAGATTGAGAGAGATTGAGACAGAACTGTCACAGATTGAGAATATTGAGTTATTTACATACAGTAAGGTAAACATTGACTCGCCCACTTTTTCACTAATCGGTAGAAAAATGAGCAGCCGTTAAGCCCTAGAACTAACTGAAAGCAATTGAATAATGGTTTTAAATCAGATTAAAACAATTAAATTCTATTTTTTATCAGTCTATTGTCTTGGTATTAACTAGTTTTTTATATAAACTCACTGTGGTTGGTGGCTTTACATGTAAGTTAGATGATCTCTCGCTCCCTAAATGGGTGGTTCTTGCACAGAATAAACACTAAAGTTAACTAGATTTAGGGCTGCGACAAGCAATTGTTTTGATAATCGATTAACAATTATTTAATCAATAATTTCAACAATGAATCAGTAGGCTTTGATCGATTATTCCGTTTTTGCTATTCAACAAAATATTGAGTTGCTATGATCAGATGTTTTCTTATCTGCTGTTTTCTCACCACTGTCATGTTTGCTTTGTTTATTCTGTTAATGAGAGGAAAGTGCGCAACACATATTTATATATTTATCTAAGCACCGCTCTCAGCAGCATCTGAATGTTCGCTAACAGTAAAGCGCTGCTTGTGTATATCAAACGTCTTTTTACCCCTAACCGCAGAATGAAAAAGAACTTTGCTGTGAGTGTATCTCTCTACTGGTTCTGCTTTGTTTGCACTTCTTCTATTGGATTGCAGCCGTGAATTACAGTCTTGCGCTACAGTGCTACACTGGTCAAACCACATTAGGCCCCCTACATTGCAGGCCCTTGCATTAGGTCATATGAGATCAAATGACTATTCGACAACAAAAATATTTGTTGACAATTTTTTAATGTCGACTCATCATTTCAGCTCTAATGCATAGCTAAAGCTCCTGTATTTCCTGAAAGATTTCTTTGTTTTATAGAAACCCGTAGTTTTTACCTGTGGTTACTTGTGCACAAAAACACAATGTACACCTTTTACATTTGTATTGCTATCTACGTGTCTGTGTTCATTTTAGTGATGGAAAAAAGGAAAGATGAGTGTTTGAAAGGCCGTCAGTTTGAGTCTGCTGGCACAGTCGCAGCAGGAGGGCTGCCAGGTGCGGGTTGTGTGGGCACTGATCTTGTGTGTGATTTCATTTGTTTACTAGACCTCTGTTGTTTGAGTGTCGTTGCCCATCCAGCCCTGTCATTCTGCTTGTGTATTGTATTGATAACTTAGCATGACAGCCAGACGCGTCTTGTAAACACGGCAGCCAGCTGGCTGTGTTTGTATGTGGGTACAAGCATATTTGCTCAAGTGTTTGTCTCCCAGGATGGAAGTCCTAAAGGTTTGCTCTTGTGTCTGCAAAGGATTTAGTTTCACCATTTTTGGAAGACCATTTCTGCCGCAAGATTTTAGAGCATGGGGTAAGATGTGTCAGTGAGTAAAGATGTGCAAACATATGTTATATTTAGGGCTGCACGATAAATCGCATGCGATATTTAACGCGCCATGCGATTTATCGTGCAGCCCTAGTTATATTATATTAAAAAGTGAAACAACCTTCCACACTCTCCCTGATTCACACCAATTCCAAATTTTCAGCAGAATATATATTTGTTCTCTCTTTTGTTTTTCGTTTTGTTGTTTTATTTCGGTTTTGGTTTGGCTTGGGCTAGTTTTGTATTAGTTTTGTTCTTTTTGTTTTTTTATTTTTTATTTATTTTTTTTTTGTTTTGTTTGGTGTCTGTTTTTTTGTTTTTGTTTGATTTCGGTTTGGTTGGCTTAGGTTGGCTTGGTTTTGTTTGAATTTTGTTTTGTTTTGACTTTTTGTCCTTTGTTTTGGGTTTTGTTTTTTGAGGTTTGGTTTCTTTGACTTTTTTTGGGAGGTTTTGTTTTGGTTTGACCTGGTTTTGTTTGGCTTTGTTTTGTTGGGTTTTGTTTTGTTTGTGTTTGGTTTGACATTTTTGTTCTGTTTGGGTTTTGGTTGTTTTTTTTGTCATGTTTCTTATTTCTGCATCAGTTTTTGTAAATAGAATCTAGAACAATGATTTCAGTTCAGACAATGTTGGTGTGAATACTTAATATTACTTAATTTGTTATGTTGAATGATTTATTTGAATCTGACTTGGTGGCAGACAGGCCTTTTCTGTCTCCTGTTTATGTACCTGTAGATGCTGCTCACTTTCAAACCAATCATTTCACCCACATAAGCAACGGAAGGGAAGAAACTCCAAAGTGAATTATTAAAGGAGGTCCTTTTTCCTTAGCTTGCATCACGAGGAATTGTATGTGAGTGGGTGTATGCGGTCGAAAAAACACACATGAAAGATTGATCAGTGAGGGTTAGATGTACACAGCAGGTGCGCCGGGGTGGCGGGAAAGCTCTGCTTGGGTTTTAATGCACAGTCGTTAGGGCTGAAACGCCATAAATCATCTGCCAGTGGTGCTTGGTTCTTTTTTTAAATTTTTTTTTGTGGGATATGAACAAAGCAACAATATTTCAGTTTGAACTGACGCTGTTTGCAGAAGTCTGGCAAGTGGTGTATAGATCAGCTCAACGTCTTGTCTCCATCTAATGTGTCCAGATGTGCAAATAGGGTTTATTTCCTTCTGAAGAAGCAAGACGTGTTTATTTTCTGGAAGTATGTTGACCTCGTCACATGAGTTGTGTGTGACAGGAATGGCTCTGTTATCTTTCAACCTGACAGCTGCGCTCCAATGAACAATGTCTGCAAGTCTGTCTCTCTCTTTGTCATTTTAAGTGATGTTTGCTAAGTCAAGTTTCACTTTTACTACATAGGGTTAGAGATTTGTTAAAAAATAACCATCCGTCAGAGCTGTAGCTTTGTGGGCGGCACTCTGACATATGGTTAAAAGCACTTGGGGCATCCAGAGTTCGAGTCCTGACTTATCACAGTAAAGAAAGTTTTAGTTTCGACTGACCCTTGAGTTGTAGCAGGGATTTATGTAAGGAGGACTTGCAGGACTTTTTAAAATTTCTGTAGCATGTGATATAATGAGTGCTGATGACAGTGCTGGATGTCAGCAAGTTTCACTGTGGTTGTCATGAGCGGCAGATTCTGTTAGAGAGCAGCAATGTACCCTCCTGCACAACTCTCATCCTCCTATCACACAATAAAATACTTACAAATGTAGCCCTGCTGGTAGTTTTGTCTTTTTTGAAACAAGGTTTCTAAAACAAAGAGGAGACAGTGAAGACTGGGGAAATTAACTTCATTAGTACATTTATTTAACCCTGAGTAACCCTTAGTAAACCTGTTTAAAAAAAAAAAACATAAATCTCTAATAACACTTGAATAACACTTTCAAATAATCGTAACATACATAATAATGATACAAATTATACAAGTTATTATACTCTCAGTGAGGACTGCGACTGGGAAAATAAACCTAATTAGTAAATTAAGTAATAAATTAATCTGTATTGTTTAACGGTTTATAAAATAAATAAACAATTTAAAAATTCTATTTATTAAAAACTAAAATTGAAATACAATTATTTTTTATTGTAATTTTTTATGCTAAAATTTTTTATATTCAGTGAGGACTGAGAGTGGGAAAATGTTTCTTTTTTTTCATGAACTAATCTGGATTGTTTAATAATTAAAATAGAACACAAATACCTTTTTTTTCTACATAATACTAATAATACTAATAATTATTATGATGATGATGATGATGATTATTATTATTATTAATACATATAATTAATAATAATTATTATAATACTTATAATTAATAATAATAATAATAATTATTATTATTATTATTAATTAATTAATAAATAATCATCATATTATTATTATTAATACTTATAATTATTTATTTTCTAATTATTTATTTTCTTAAGTTCTAATATTAGTACACTGTTGATTCTATATTAAATTGTTCACTGCTATGCTATGATTACAATTTTTAAACGGTTAATACTTAAAGGTTTTGTAATGTGTGTGTGTGTGTTTTTAAACAGTAATGTATCATTTTTTAATGTTTTAACATATTTAATTAATTAAATGATCTAAATTATCTAATGATTTTTTTTGTTGTTGGATCCGAAGGAAGGAACGAATGAAAGGGCTTGCGTGCCATTCCAACCTAAACTTTCTTACACATAAAGCAAAAGCTTTCCTCTAGACCAAAAAGCACTTTGTAAACCCCACACCGTTTAAAAAAGAAAGAAAAAAAACCTGACACTCATCTATTCACATGAACTATTTCACATTGTGTCTGTGGTGTTTTAGAAAAAAAAGTTTTTTTTGTTTTATTTTGTCACAACTTGATATCTGCCTACTGTACATATCCAAATGCCCATCTCAGGGCGGCATCCTAATAGTGGCACTGCTTGAGATGGACTTTTAGATCCAGTACACATGACACCTTAGCAAGTACATAGCAACACCCTGGTAACAACCTGAACATCCTCATTCTTCTGTCTTGCAGGATCTCAAGGGCTGCGTCGGTGCTGCTGTCGGATCCTTGCTTCCAGCTTCGCTCCATCCAGTACCTGCTCGGAGAAGGAGATACCGGAGCCGCCAGTGCTGATCACAAACACTTCTCTCTGCACACATGTAAGCCCTCTTACCCATCCTACTGCTGTGAGACAAGAGCATCATGCAAAATCAGTGGGATGTTAAACTTAGTCACCATTGTATTTATCGCATTGCATACTTTGATATGCAACGTTTTACGGTCTAAATATACTCCTATTTCTTAGAATAGCCTTCCATATCCAGTGATGTGAAAGTGATTGTGTTCTTAAAATATCTCCTGCTCCGCCATTTCACTCAGCTCTGATTTCAAACACTAAAATCAAATCCATGCAGATGCCTTATAATTATAATCTGCTATAACTGGACTCGACATACAGTAAGTGATTTATTTCCTCTCAGCAGGTGAAATTTAAATGAACAATTTCAACAATGTATTTTTGGATTTTGTTATGGAACAATTTTAGCAACTGTCTAAATTTACAGCTTTATTTTATTTTATCCCCCCCACACATTTTATTTAGATTTTTTTTTTCAATTCCCAAGAACACAAAAAAACAATACATTTTTTAAAGTCACTTATATTTAGACAGCATTTATGATCAAATTTATTGATTTATCATATTGATTTATCTATCTAGCTTTTTTTTTATTATTATTTATTAGCACTAATTACTAGTGCTGTGTTCAAAATATCGATACGACGATGTATCGTCAGAGATTTGACGATACGAGTATCGATACAGCTGGCCCTGTATCGATATTGTGGCACGTGTGCAGCAGTGGACTGCACTTAATTTGTTTAAAACTTTACAACGTTTAAAACTGAGTAGAAAAGTGCGAGGTTTCTAAAAAAGAATGAATAGAGCATATATAGGCTACAACGAGGTTTAATCTGGCCGCAGAGGAACACAACGGGGTTGCCTGATATAAAGAGACGTAAACTCCAAAACAGAGCTTCACACTTGCGCAATACGGAAATATCTGCTAAGTGTGCTACTTATCTTTGTCAACCTGGCAATCATGTGCACACGCGCTCTCTCTCCACTGGATAAACGCGCGTGCTTTCTGAAAACACTGGTTAGCTTGCAGTTTAGCGATCTCCACTTCAATATTCTATTCTCAGAAAAGTGTAATTCATCAACTGTTCATTTACGACAGAGAGAGCGAGAGAGAGTGAGAGAGAAACAGAGGCGGTGTATGTATGAATTACCACCGTTTGCCGTGTTTCTCTATTAACAGTGAAGTGGCTTTAATCCCTTTAGAAACAACGATGTTACCAGCTCCTCGTTGAAAAAGATAAATGTAGCTCTTGAGCGATTAAGATATTTAGTTGATAAAACTGCGGGGCAGCGCTAAAAAGTTTGTTCCTGAATGTCTGAGTTCGGCAGCAACGTGATCTGTGTGTGTGACTGCACTTAACATCAAACTGCTTCTGCGAACTTGCGGACGCGTCGAGTATAAATCAGCCTTGAGAGTGTGTGCGTTAGATACAGTGAAGACAGCGCGTTAGTTTAGAACTCTTCTCATTTTTTTTTTTTATTGTAGAGAGTGTGTTAATTTGTGCAATGATAACCTACCAGCAATGTAAATGATTTTTAAAATATATTAGAATGAGTACATTACAATATAAATTTATTAGAACGAGTACATTATTATTTATGGGCTTAAAAACAAGATGCAAACAATCAGAATATTGTACCTGGTGGAGAGTGCACAATGTAAACATGAAACATATGCCATTACCTATATTGTACTGTGGTACAGTTATGGAGGCCCTTCATAATGCAGAGGTCAACTGCCTGCTCTGCCAATAGTTAGAAATGGCTCTATAGTATGCAGTGTTTAATAAACAGCTGTTTTTCTAAATTCTGCTGAGGTGAAATTCAGTGCAGTCATGTATCGTGATATGTATCGTATCGTGGCCTATGTATCGTGACACATATCGTATCATGACTTTGCTGGTGATACACAGCCCTACTAATTACCCTAATTATAATTATGGCTTGCAGTCATTTCAGAATTAATGATGCTGTTAATCACACAGCATTTGGTGAGAAAAAGCCTTAAATGAAGATCATTTAAATGTCCTAAAAGAAGATAATTGAAGATTTTTATTTATTTTGTATCCCTTTTAAAAACAGGTCAGAGATGTAGGTGTTTCATTTTTAAATAAGTTATTCTTTAAATTAAAATGAATATAACTTAATAATTTCATAAAAAAAACTACAGTATGTTTAATGAATTATGTGTAAAAATACTAATATACATATTTATGATTAATTTTCAGTATTTATTAAGTATTTTGTGCATATTTTATATTAGTTGATATAAATAATTATTGTTTTATTAGATTATTTTTATATAATTAATGTACTAAATTAACGGTAAAATGACAGCTGTATTTATAATCTAGTTTTTTTGAATAATCTGCATTGAAATAGCCATTAAACTGACATCAGGAAATCCTCTCCCAACTGTACTGCAGTGCGAATCGATTTGTCCAGCACTGAAGCTCAGGTCTGCTTTAACTATACAGACCCTTCACCCGAATCCACCGGCACCGCTTTACTGTAAAAGGCCTTGATTAATTATTTACTCTAAGTGGATGCATTTCCATCTCCACTGTGCCCACACTTCTAAACTGCTCTGCTTGAGGGGAGAGTCGGGCATAACAACCAGCTCTTTAGCCATTCAAGAACAACACTGAGAGTTTGTTTACAGCATTTGAAAGGAGAGCCTTTCTGATACTCCATAACAGCCTCCAAAAACCTTTACTAGAGGTTTGAGTCTCTTAGAGTATATGAAGAGTTTGGTTCCAAAACGCGATAAACGACATTTTTTTTTTTTTAAATTGAGTTTCCTCCAAAATCAGTATTGTATCTGGTCGGTATTGAAAAGTCCATTTTGAATTTTATGCAAAATGCGTTATCCGCCGATTTATTCTGTCATGTTTTTTCCCATTCTTTCCAAACCGCGACAAACGCCAGTCTCCCTTCTCTGCAGAATGCGATATATCCGCTCAACCAATCACAGCGCACCATTCCACGCACTCTAGACCAGTGTTTCCCAACCGGGGTGCCGCGGATTAAAAAATCCTTTTTTAATATTTTTAAATTGCTAAAATGTTCAAAAAAGCATCTATTATATAATATCCATTTCTGATGTCGCCAATAATTAGAGATGCACCGAAATTTCGGCTGCCGAAAATTAGTTCACCGCTCAGGTTTCACTTTCACGTGGTGTGACGCTCTGCGTATTATCCCGCTCTATGTGTGCGCTCCGCTCAGTCGCTCCACTCGTATACCGTTCATGCTCATCGGAACAGCAAAGTCCACTCAAAAATTGAGCCGACAGGAAACAGTCGCATTCGATTATGAACGCAATATTGCGATGAATGCACTTTTGGAAGTTGAATGTAAGGGAAATGTCATTTTGGAATTTCTGTGGTTTAATGTGATATTGTTGTTCATGTATGTTCATGATGAAATTTTCTTTTATTGTTGTAATTAATTTATAGCATTAACAAGATGACCCGTTGAATTTATTTTGGGAGCGATGACTGATTTAATGTATTTTTAGTCCAGTGCCTGTATATAAGATCAGGATTGACCAAGTTCAGAGGCTGTCATATGTGGAATAACCATGTTGTGTATTTTCGACAGTTTCAATGTGAAAAATATCTTTTATATTGATTCAATGGATTTATTGATTTAAAAAAATTTTTACTCAAATTAATCAAAATGGATTTATAGCGTTTTGGAACCAAACTCTTCAAATATTTGTGCACTCGCTGTTTGGCTTTCTTTTGGCACTGGATATCGATTAATGGTGGGCGGAAATGATTCATAGACGCATTGCGATTTCTTTCTCAAACTATTCTGGAATGATTTACAATATATATATAATATTTATATTTGTGCTGTCAAATCGATTAATCGCATCCAAAATAAAAGTTTGTGTTTACATTATAAATATACAGAGTACACACACATATATTATGTATATTTAAACACACACACACATGCATGTGTATATTGTGAAAATATTTACATGTATTTACATGTATATATTTATATTCAGATAATTTATATTATATATAAATATATTTAATATATAAACATAATTTAAAAAAAATATATATATACATGCATGTGTGTGTATTCACATATACATAATAAATATACACAGTGCACACACATATAGCATGTAAACAAAAACTTTTATTTGGGATGCGATTAATCACGATTAATCGTTTGACAGCACTA